AGACCCAAAGGTGTGCTGTGCAGATTCTCCTTCCAGGAAGACTGGGACAGCCTGGATTCCATGGCTATGTGGGGTGGAGGTGGGAAGGCTTGGCCACTGTGAACCACTGTGGGACGATTCTGATGGGCAGCACTGGCTCCAGAGTGGTCTGTCTGGGTTCCTCTGCCTCTTCCTGCTTCTCCTCTCCTTTCATGGGAGTTGATCCCTGATAAACATCTCGTACACCAAACTCTGTCTCAGAGTTTGCCTCCTGGGAACTCAAACTGCGATGGTTACTGCACTGTTTATCCTTGCCAGCCTTTGATATCAACAGACTTTAAAAATCTATCACCAGTCTGGTGGGTATTTAAGGGTAGCTCATTGTGGTTTTTTCCTTAATTAAAAATTTTAAAATTAAATCCTTAATTAAATATTTTAAACCTTTGCAATTATTGAGGTATAATTAACAAACAATAAAACAATCGCCTTTTCAAAGTGCACAGTTGGATGAGTTTTGACAACTGCAGGCTGTCATACAGTCACCACCATAATCGGATGCATTTACATCAGCCCAGAAAGTTCCGTCATGCCCGTTTACAGTCAGTCCCCTGCTCCTGTCACTGATTTGCTTTCTGTTACTATAGTTTTCCTTTTCCAGCAGAACCAACTAGAACACACTCTTTTGTGTCTGGTTTCTTTCACTCAGTGGAATGCTTTTGAGATTCATTCATATTGCTACATACATTGGCAGTTTGTTCCTTTTCATTGCAGAGTAGTATTCCATTGCATACACAATCACAGTTGATTCATTCTCTTGTTGATGGGCTTTTGGAGTGTTTCCAGTTTTTGGTAATGATGAACAGAGCTTCTAACACATACAGTGAGTCTTTTTGTTGACATATGTTTTCATTACTCTTGAATGGATGTGTAGGAGTGGCATTACTGGGTCATAGGGCTGGTATAATTTTAACTTAATAAGAAATCACCAATGATTTTCCAAAGTGGTTTTTTTTTAAAAATCATTTTAAATTTTACAGACCAGTAGTATGTGAGGGTTCTGATTACTTTACATTCTTGTCAATGGTTGGTAGATTCAGTCTTTTAAATTTTTAGCTATTCTTGGATGTGTGTGCCTGTGTGCAGTGGTAGCTCGTATTTTAATTTACATTTAAATAATGCAAAATGGTGACTAATGATGTTGACCATCTTTTCTTTTGCTTTTTAGCCATTCACATCTCTTCTTTGGTAAAGTGTCTGTTTAAATATTTTACCCATTTTTAAATTGAATTGTTTACTTAGAATTGATAAGAGTTCTTTATTTATGCTGGATACAAGTTCTTTATCAGCTAGGTATTTTCTAAACACTTTCTTTCAGTCCATGGCTTGTACTCATATTTTCTTAAGAGTGTCTTTTGAAGAGAAGTTTTTCCCTGACATCATGGCGCATGTCTGTTATCTCAGCACTTTGGGAAACTGAGGCAGGAGGATTTTTTGAAACCAGGAGTTTAAGACCAATCTGAGCAACATAGTGAGACCCTGTCTTTACCCCCCAAAAAGGGTTTAATTTTGATGAAGTCCAATTTATCATTTTTTTATGCTTTGAGTTTTTTTGTGCCTTATCTAAAAATTATTTGCTTACCCCAAATCATGAAGACTTTTTCTTATGTTTTCTTCCAGAAATCTTATAGTTTTATATTTCTTATTATGGTTTGAATTTGTATTTTATTGATTCCTGATGAGAAGTAGCACTTCTCATGTTTATTTGCCATGTGAATTTCCTATTTTATGATGTGTCTAAGCCTTTTGCCCATTTTCTGTAAAGTTTTTTTTTACCTTACTGATTTCTAGGAATTTTTATGTATGTCGGAGAGAGTCTTTTGTTAGTTTTATTCATGATTTATATTTTTTCCCACTCTGAGACTTGCCTTTTTAGTATCTTTATGGTGTCATTTAATGAACAGAAATTCTTAATTTTAAGGAATTTGAATTTATGTTTTAGTTCCTTTATGATTAGTACTTTCTGTCTCTTGTTTAAGAAATTCTTTCCCTCACTGAGGTCACATATATATATTCTCTGATACCAGAGCTTCTCAACTTTCTCAGTTCATGATGCCCTTGTGTGTCAGTTATTTTTTCATGGAATGCCTAGGTCAAAAGAAATACCCAATGTTTCAATTTATTAGGTAGTCAGTTATAAGCAACTTAATAATCATTTATTTTCTAACAACTTGGTAGTCATTTGAAAAAATAAAATTGACTGAAATAATAATAATGAATGTTTTCATCCTTAAATGATCACATTTACTTACTAAGGGGATGTGTTAGCCGTTGGGCACTGTACAACTTCTCAAGTTTTAGAATATGACTGGATATTAGCATTCTAATTTCCTATTTCCTATTGATTTTTGTGGGGTGTTTGCTTGCTGTTATAGCAACTGCTGAATGTCTAGCTTTGCAAAGATTTGATGCCATTGAGTGGACTGTTGCTTGATTTAATATTGAAACTGTCTAGAGAGAATCATTTATTCAGTGTCTGACAGTGATCTCTGTGTTTTCTCCAAAAATTTAAAATGTCCTATGGCACCACTGTGAGTTCAATGCAGTGTCCTGGGGAACCTCAGTGAATAGTTTGGGACTGATGGTTTTGTATCCTGTGTGAAACACTGTATTGCTGTGCTTTTTATACTTAGGTCTTTAATCCATCCTGAATTAGTTTTTGTGTATGGTGTGAGTCAGGCATCCAGTTTCTTTTTTTCCAAATGTATGTGTAGTTACTTTAAATTATTTATTGAGAAGTCTGTTGGTTTCTCATTGATCTGCAATAACACCTTTGCCATATACATATATAATATATTTTTTTCCAATGACCTCTGAACTTTTATGGCTTTCTGCTTCCCAAAGGTACCCTGCTTCTGCGGGCTTAATGTCTCAGAACTTTGGTGTCATTGGTCTCACACACCACTTTGCCCTCCACTATCCGGTGGTTGGTGGTCTTTTGGATGGTTTGCATGAAGCTGCCGCTGTCCAGGGCATCACCGAAATTGAAGTCGTTGCCATCATTCAGCAGGCGGCAGTCACTGGCGATCTCAGCCTCCAGCTTGACCTTGATGTTCAGCAGGGCCTCGTGCTCCTTGGCCTGGCACTGTCCCTCTGCCTGGGTCTGGGTCAGCTCTGACTCCAGGTGCAGCAGGATCCCATTAAGCTGCTCCATCTGCAGGGTGTAATAGGCCACCACCTCCCTCAGGCTGTTCTCCAAGCTGGCCTTCAGATTTCTCATGTAGTTCAGGTCCATCTCCAAGGATTCGACTGTATTTCTCTGCTCTGTGAGAGTCACACCTTGGCACACTGCGTTTTGACCACTGTGGTGCTCTCCTCAATCTGCTGATATCAGTACTTGTCGAATTCCTCTCAGTTCTTCTGAGCCAGCTCATCATATTGGGCCCAGATATCTTCACCAGTTTCTGACTGCTTTTTGTTGACCTCCAAACTTCCAAATAGTTGTTTAAAAAATATTAATATACGTTATCTGTGAGAGTGTCCGTTCAATACAAATTACTCCATCTTATCACAGAGTGGTACTTAGTATATCTATCTGTCTATCTTGAAATGTTTTTACAAATTCTAATAATTCACTTGTAGATTCTTCTAGCTTTTTAATGTGCACAGTCATATTATTGGTGTATAATGACAGGATTATTTTTTCTTTTTCATTCAATATCTTTTTTATTCCTGTGTTTTGCCTTACTGCATGGGCTGGCATCTCTAGTGAAGGGTTGAGAAGAAATGGTGATAGATTTGTTTCATGTCTCAGAGGGAAAGTTTTCAAAGTTTAATTATTGAATATTATATTTTCTATACTTTTAAAAATAGATAAAATTTACCAGCATAGGTAAATTACTTCTATTTCTTAGCACTAAAATACTTTTAAATATATAAATGGATATTAGATTTTATCAAGCATTTTTTCTTCATGTGTTGAAATGTTCAAATGTTCTATTTAATATTTTAGATGTCAGATTACAACAGTTTAATCAACTTTACATTCTTGGAATAAATCCAGTTTGGTAAGATTTATTATTCTTTTTTACATATTGCTGGATTCATTTTGCTAGTATTTTGTTAAGGATTTTTGCATCCGTGTTTATGAGTGAGATTGGAATATCTATCCTTGTTGACTTTGATGTAAAGATAATGCTAACCTCATGTTGTGTGTTAGAAAGAGGTTGTGTATAATTAATGATTTTCTCTCTCTTGAATAATTGGTAGAACTTGTTGGTGAGACCATTTGTCTTTGTAGGCTGTGTTGGTGAAAGACTTTTCTTTTTGAGACAGAATCTTGCTCTGTTGCCCAGACTGGAGGGCAGTGGTGTGATCTTGGCTCACTGCAACTTTCACCTCCCGGGTTCAAGCAATTCTCCTGCCTCATCATCCCAAGTAGCTGGGACTACAGGCACGTGCCACCATGCTTGGCTAAGTTTTGTGTTTTTAGTAGATACGAGGTTTCATCATATTGGTCAGGGTCAGGCTGGTCTTGAACTCCTGACCTTGTGATTTGCCCACCTTGGCCTCCCAAAGTGCTGGGATTACAGGTGTGAGACACCTGTTATTTTTTTTTGAAAGCTCTTGCCTTGTGACCCAGGCCAGAGTGCAGTGGCACAACCACAGCTCACTGTAGCCTCAACTCCTGGGCTCAGGCAATATCCCATTTTAGTTTCTTGGGTAGCTGGGACCACAGGCATGCCACCATGCTTGGCTAATTTTTGTATTTGTTATAGAGACAGGGTTTTACTATATTTTCAGGGTGGTCTCAAACTCCTGAGCTCAAGCAATCTGTCCTCTTCAGCCTCCCAAAGTGCTGGGATTACAAATATGATCCACCAAGCCTGGGCTAGAGAAAGATTTTTGAATCCTCTTTCATTAAAAATTTAATAATCAGAACATACAAATTTTCTATTTTTCTTGTTTCAGTTCTTGTAAGACATATTTGTACTGGTTATTCGGCTGCTGCCTTTTATTTTCAGGTACATCCTTATAGTTTCTTCTCTGTGCTGCCAGTGCTGGGAGTCTTCAGTCTTTCTCCTTTATCGTCTGGCCTCCTGGTGGATTCTTCAGTTGGGGACTCTAGAAGGAGATGGAAGACAGGAGGAAAGAAGGTACATCCGCTTTCTTATTTGCTTCTGTACCTATCCATAATGCTTATTGAGACTATTTCACCCTGCAGGCAGCAATTAGTTTTATCCTTCAACTTCTTTTAGCACTCCTAAACCAGCTTATTTTGACCTATCAGAGGTACCACCAGCAGCTAGGCAATGCCCCCTCTTCTGAAGCCTAAGTCTCAGCTCTCTGGGCTTCCTCTTATGAACTCCTGGGGAACTAGCAGCATTCAAGTATTCCCTGAACTCTGTAGTATGAGCCCCAGCATCTTGAGATTTATGTGGTAAACTTTTAGTTCTGATAACCTTAACCCTGTCCCTTTGTCCCCCAGCTCTTGCAGTAGCTGTTTTTCTCTAGTTATTATCGCTATGATATTTCACTGTTTTTTCTTTTTGCTTCATCAGCCCTTTAACACTTTTATAATCAATGGTCTATATTTTTTCTGCTGATATACCTACTGTGGTTTATTTTCCTGATTGGACACTGACTGATACAATACTTGAGAATGAAAGTAGTCACAGGAAAAGACCCTCAAAACTGTATGGACTTAGTTTAGTTTTCTTTGGACCCTTGAACACAATGCTGAACTCCTTGCCCATGGCAAATGGGCTACTACTAATTCATAGCATGCAGTGATAACGTGACAAACTGTCAGCTGTGACTGCTTGTGGTAACTACTTATTGTACCAACATGTAGGGAACCAAATAGCTACTGTAGTTGACTAATATGGCAATAATAGCAATATTTATGAGAATCCTGGTATGTAATGGCTGCTTCTAAATGCAGTGGAGAACCTGAAACAGATGACAATGAGGTCAAGTCTTTAAACTTTCGTCCCAATGTTCAGACAACTAGGGTACTTCCACAGAGACCTTAGAAGAATCTCTTTCAATGTACAGGGCCAATCTTGATAAAGATTGTATCTAGAAGAAGGAGGCAGATCTAGATAGAATAGAAGTCTCCACCAATTGTCCATCCCACAAGGGCACCATTTTAAAAACTATCTGCACAGAAAAAGCACCTTTATAAGAACAAAAAATCAGGTAAGCATTCATAGTACATGGTTTTAACTTCATTCACTGAAAGAGGCACTAAAGAGGTAGAAAAAACAGGTTTGAATCACAGATGCGACCCCTCTCCTATCCCCAGGCAGCAGTGGTGTGGTACAGAGAGCATTTCTGTGTGCTGGGGAGAGGGAGAGGGCAGCAATAGTGAGGCATTGAACTCAGTGCTGCCCTATTATAGTAGAAAGCAAAACTGGTTTAAACTAGAACTTTCCAGATCTTGTCTAAGATCATGGCAGTATCTCTATGAGTGTGAAAGAATCACAGCATTACTGGGCTTTGGGTGTCCCATAAAGCAGACACAGTTCAGATGACAACATTCAAGTTCTTTCAAAACTTTCCCAAGAAGGACAGGTACAAATAAACCCAGGCTGCAAGGATTACAATCAATATGTAAATCTTCAATGCCCAGACAAGTGGACATCTACAGGTATCAGGACCATCCAGAAGAACATGAACTAAATAAGGCACCAGGGATCAATCCTAGAAAAACAGAGAATAAGAGACCTTTCAGACAGAAAAAATTAGAATAGCTGCTTTGAGGAAACTCAAAGAAATTTGAGATAACACACAGAAAAAATTCAGAATCCTATCAGATACATTTAACAAAGAGATTAAAATAAGTGAAAAGAATCAAGCAGAAATTCTTGAGCTGAAAATGCAATTGGCACATCAAAGAATGCATCAGAGTTTTAAAAATAGTATAATTGATCAAGCAGAAGAAAGAATTAGTGAGCTTGAAGAAAGGTTATTTGAAAATACACAGAGGAGATAAAAGAACGAATAATAAAAAACAATGAAGCATGCTTACAAGATATAGAAAATAGTCTCAAGAGGACAAATATAAGAGTTATTGGCCTTAAAGAAGAGGTAGAGAAAGATAAGGGTGTAGAAAATTTATTCAAAGGGATAATAACAGAGAACTTCCCAAACCTAGAGAAAGTTATCAATACCCTGGTACAAGAAGGTTATAGAACACCAGTCAGATTTAACCCAAAGGATACCTGAAAGCATTTAATAATCAAACTCTCAAAAGTCAAAGATAAAGAAAATATTCTAAAATCAGCAAGAGAAATAAAACAAATAACATACATGGAGATCCAATATGTCTGGTAACAGACTTTTCAGTGGAAACCTTCCAGAGAGTGGTATGACATATTTAAAGTTCTAAAGCCAAAAATCTTTCACCCTAGAACAGTGTATTCAACAAAAATATCCTTCAAACATGAAGGAGAAATACTTTCCCAGATGAATAAAAGCAGAGGGATTTCATCAACACCAGAACTGTGCTGCAAGAAACACTAAGGGGAGTACTTCAATGAGAAAGAAAAGGATGTTAATGAATGGTAAGAAATCATCTGAAGGTATAAAACTCACTAGTAATAGTATGTACCTAGAAAAATAGAATATTATAACATTGTAACTGTGGTATGCAAACTATTCTTATCTTAAGTAGAAAGGCTAAATAATGAACCAATTAAAGATACTAACTACAACAACTTTTCAAGACATAGTACAATAAGACATAAATAGAAACAACAACAAGTTAAAAAAGTAGGGGGAATGAGATAAAGTTAAGGCATAGCATCCTTATTAGTTACCTTTTTGTTTGTTTGTTTGTTTATGCAAACAGTGTTAAGTTGTTATCAGCCTGAAATAATGGACTATAAGGTAGTATTTATAAGCCTCATGGTACCCTCAAACAACAACAATAAAAATACAACAGATTCACAAAAAATAAAAAACAAGAAATTAAATTATATCAGCAGAGAAAATCATCTTCACTCAAAAGAAGGCAGAAATAAGAAAGAAGGAAGAGGAGACCACAAAATAGCCAGAAAATAAGTAAAAAATTATCAGGACTAAGTCCTTACTTATTAATAATAACATGGAATGTAAACAGTCTAAATTCTCCAGTCAAAAGATATAGAAAGGCTAAATGGAAAAACAAAACAAAACAAAACCACCACCACCACCACCACCAAAAACTCCCAAGATCTATTGATCTGTTGCCTACAAGAAACACACTTCACCTATGAAGACACACATGACTGAAAATAAAGGGATGAAAAAAAATATTCTGTGCCAATGGCAATCAAAAAGATCATGAGTTGCTATACTTATATCAGACAAAATAGGTTTCAAGACAGAAATTATAAGAGGAAACAAAGAAGGTAACTACATAATGATAAAGGGGTCAATTCAGTTAGAGGATATAATAATTTTAAATATATAGGCACCCAACATTGGAGCACTCAGATATATAAAGCAAATATTATTAGCACTAAAGAGAGACACAGACTCTAATACAATAATAGCTGGAGACTTTCACTCTCTCAGCATTGAGCAAAGCTTCTAGAAAGAAAATCAACAAAGAAATATGAGATTTAATCTGCATTATACACAAAGTAGACCTAATAGATGTTATACAGAACATTTCATCCAAAAGCTGCAGAATATGCATTCTTTTTCTTAAAAAATAGTGATCATTCTCAAGGATAGATCATAGTTAGGTCACAAGTTTTAAAACATTAAAAAAAATTCAATAATATCAAGCATCCTCTCTGACCACAATGGAGCAAAACTAGAAATCAATAATAAGAATAATTTTGGAAACTAGACAAATACATAGAAATTAAACAATATACTCCTGAATGATGAGTGGGTCAATGAAAGAATTGAGAAGAAAATTGAAATTCCTTAAAACAAATGATAATGGAAAACACAACATACCAAAACCTATGTGATACAGCAAAAGCAGTACTAAGAGAAAAGGTTATACCTCTAAGTACCTATATAAAAAAAAGATAAAAACGTCAAAGAAATAACCTAAAAATGCACCTTAAAGACTAGAAAAGCAAGAGCAAACCAAACTCAAAACTAGTAGAAAAAAAGAAATAATAAAGATTAGAACAGAAATAAATTGAAAAGAAAAAAATGGAAAAGATCAATGAAACAAAAAGTTGGTTTTTTAAAAAGTTAAACAGGATCGACAAACCTTTAGGCAGACTAAGAAAAAAAAAAAAAAGAAAAGATCCAGATAAATAAAATCAGAGATGAAAAAGGAGACATTACAACTGTTATTGCAGAAATTCAAAGGCTCATTAGTGGCTACTATGAACAATTATATGCTAGTAAATTGGAAACTCTAGAAGAAATGGACAAATTCCTGGACACATACAACCTACCAAGATTGACCATGAAGAAATCCAAAATCTGAACAGATCAATAACAAGTAACAAGATCAAAGCCACAATAAAATGTTTCCCAGGAGAGGAGAGAAAAGCCCAAGGCTTGATGACTGCAGTGCTGAATTCTACCAAACATTTAAAGAAGAATTAATACCAATCCTACTCAAATTATTCTGAAAAACAGAGGAGGAGGGAATGCTTTCAAAGTTATTCTGTGAGGCCAGCATTACCTTGAAATAAAAAAGAGACAAAGACACATAAACAAAGAGAAAACTATAGGTCAAGATCCTTGATGAATACTGATGCAAAAATTCTCGACAAAATATTATTAATAGCAAACCAAATTCAATGTTGCATTTAAAAGATCATTCATTAATGTCAAGTGGGATTTATCCCTGGGATGCAAGGATGATTTAACATACATAAATCAATCAATGTGATATATCATATCAATAGAATGAAGGACAAAAACTGTAGCCTTATTTAAACTGATGCTGAAAAAGCACTTGATAAAATTCAACATCTTTTCATAATAAAAGCTCTAAAAAAACTGGGTATAGAAGGAATATTTCTCAACATAATAAAAGCCATGTATGATAGATCCACAGCTCATGTCATACCTTATGGGGAAAAACTGAAAGCCTTTCCTCTAAGAGCTGGAACATGACAAGGATGCTCACTTTCACTCAACATACTCCTGGAAGTCCTAGCTAGAGCAATCAAACAAGAGAAAGAAATAAAGG